TCTTTTCCCTTTTATGATGATCTGAAGGTCAAGCCAGTCTCAACATCAAACAGGGAAAAAAGACAGTTGCAATTTTAACTTTCTCCATAAGGTGTCCTCAGTAGATTGTAAAATTTCTTCCCAGACACCAAACTATTGTTAACAAGATCAGAAAAGGAAGAAAAAAAGAAAAAATATATATTCTTCACATATAGACTAAATACAGTAATAAATTCAATAATAGAAATTTTTCAAGACCCAAAAATAGATGGAAAAGTAAAGAATACAATTAAAGTTAACCCAGAAAATTTAATCTTTTCCCAATTCACAAAGGCCAGTCTTTAAGCTTGAAAGAGTTCTCAAAAATGCTTTTTCTCAGGAAGCAAAAAAAAAAAAAAAAAAAAAGAAAGAAAAAAAGGAGGAAAAAAAAGAAAGAAAAAAAGAGGATTAAGAGAGAAAAAAAAATCTCACCCGGATCAGCTACGGTGGTTCTTACGTTTAGATGTTCTTCTGACTTCTGGTTTCAGCAGCAAAGTGATCGGCCATTTTACTGGCCGATCTTTCCTCTGTCGGCCCTAAGGAGCATTCTCGGACCGCGGAAGGAGCTGCCCTTGACAAGGGCCTCCTCAATGGTAGTTGCCCATCTAGGGTAACTTTTCGATCCGATTAAGAGAGAAAGCAGCCGGCGAAGAGAGCAGTCTCTCCGCACAGCTGCAGATGCTGCAATCCAGAACTGGAAATCCAGACTATAGTGTTATTATTTTCATTTCAGTATATTTCTTTTCCCCCTTAGAAGTTAATTTGCCGCTTCTGTCTATGGAGGGGTGGGGATTTAGTCTCCTCCCTCACTTTTGGAGGATTTCTTGCTTTAGAAGAGAAGAGAGAAGATCAATATTCTCACCCAGTTTCAAGCACGCTGGTCACCATTGTTCTGGTTTGTGCTTTTGGATTTTGGCTGCTGGTAGCTTGGGCTAGACACTGATATGCAGCTAGCCTTTTTCCTTCTGTTCTGTGATCATCGGGGCAACCCTCCTTCTTTGTCACCTCCCCAAGGTGACTTTTGACCCATTTAGGGTCCCCTGGCAGGACAAGATCAGTTGTATGTTGCGGAGCCCCGCGAACCCTTGGTGTGTCGCTAAAGGGCGGAACCGGAACTCTTATTTATGATTTTTTTTTTCAATTACTTCAGTAATCACTGTTCATGTTTCTATGTTAGGTCCTGAATTTGGAAACAAGTTTCACTGCTTGGCAACTGTACAAAATAAGTTAAGGACTTTGGCTACACCATCCAATATGACAACATCCTATATAGGTTTTTGCCTCAGCATATTATGCAGCCATCCCATTAAATCCTGATTTAGTGCTAACTGGGACATACTGAACAATCCATGATTAGGAAAATCATGGCTTAGCATGCTATGTGATGCCCCAATCAATGAGATTTAGGTTCATTGCCTATAGGAGGAGAGGCAGAACATGGAAGTGAAGTCAAGAGAGGAATCAGCCTGGAGTTGTTACTTTCCCACAAGCAGTGCATGTCTAGCTCCTCTTGAATTCTATTAACTTTTTATCTAGCACCAATTTAGTGCTGATCATTAGTTGATTAGATGAACAATAAATCAGCTGGAACTTAACATGTAGTCCTGATTTTCCACACCTGACACTGCAAAGGATTATGATATAAGATTCAGATGACAAATTTAAGTCTGTAGAATTTATAATACAATATAGAGATATAGGATTGCATAAAAGCAACTGTTCTGTTTCTAATATATAACAGGTAACTTCCTGTGGAACCCATTACATCCCTTCAGTTCCCAATAGACAAGCCTATATTCAATATATGAATCTCAGAGACCCTACTAAACAACATGTTCCTGAGCCTAAAATTATGGTCATAAGTCATTGTGATTAAGTGGGTCACCATGTGATAGCGCCCAATTTTACAAACTTTTTTGCACCAGTTATGAGAGTGTGGTAGTTATTAAGCAAACATGGCAGTTGTTAAGTTAATTTATTTTATCCACATGGCATTTTTTGCTGGAAACCAAAAGTAAAGTCTGGAAACAGGCAAAAAGCATGGTGGTATGACTGTGGGATACTGTGAATATCCCTAACTATGCCTCAGTTGCCAAGTACCCAAAGTGTGATCATATGATTGCTGGGACAAGGTGTAGGAACTTTGAAATTGGACCTTAGTATCTATTAGGAAATCTGTCTTAACTCTGATCAATCATTAAATGACTGGTCATTAAGTAAGCAATGCACTGTAGAAATGATAATTCTAGTGCATAGAAATATAATACAAGCCCATTATATTATTCTGAAAAATGTTTTGAAAGTTTCTTTAAAAGTTCCCTTAAAAAGTTTCTATGCAGCAGGGACATGAAATCAAAGTTATTTACTTAATGGTATACTGTTGCAATGAAGGAAAAAGCCAGAAATCTTTGAAAAAAATAAAAATACAGTTCATAACCCTATGGTTCTACTTTCAGCATGGGACAGTCAATAAACTAAGGTCATCATTAAAGTTAGCAAAGGTTAACCAATAAAAAAGAAACTGAAGCCAAGAAAGACTAAGCAATTAATCAGTGTATATTGACAGCTGACAAGCCCTAAAGGTGAAAGTAAAGAAGCCTGTAGATCAAAATGAAGATCAATACTTTAAAAGTGAATAGCCACCCCAGAAAACAGAAAAATGGCAGCTCAATTTGTGAAGATTCAGCTCTTATCAGTTGACTTTTTCTTTTATTAAAATCAAAGAACGTTCTCTACAACAATCAAAGTATTATCACCTTATGACCAGGCTTTTTTTCTCATAGAATGTCCAGAATGGAGTTCTGGCACCTTTTTTTGGATGGAACCTGGTAGGGTAGGCAAGGCAAGTTGTATGATGTGTGTGAGTTCCAGCACCTTTTTTTTTTTTTTTTAGAAAAAAAGCACTGCTTATGATTATATTCTGTGAACATGATTCATATTTGAAATTTGAAAAAAAAAGTGATAATCCTGGATGTGGATGAGTTGCTTATTTTTGTTTTTCCTTCCTATTTTAATGGATTACTCATAATCCCTGTTTTCATAATCTATCATTCTATCAGATTTTGTTTGCTATGTATAAATGGTGCATTGCTTTCCTTTTCTCTATATATTAGTTACATCCCTGTGAGATTGTAACTCAATATTACAGATACTGGACAGAAAATAAGGCAACTCACAATTTTATTGGCTTGGATTAACCACAAAATGCTGCTGGTTGATCAGCTACTCTGTATGCTTGGCTACTGAACAGGAACATTTCTTTTTTATTTATCAGCTCCCATCTGAATAATTAGAGCAGTGGTTCTCAACCTGGGGTCGAACGACCATTTCACGGGGGTCGCCAAACCACGCTGTCCGCCATTTTTTTCCCTTTTCCCTAGCTGTCCTACTCCCTCTTATTGGTGGCCACACCCACTTGGGGGTCACCACAACATGGGAACTGTATCATGGGGTCATGGCATTAGAAAGGTTGAGAACCACTGAATTAGAGGAATAACATCCCAAATAGTGTTGTTCCCCATTAGGAACAGCCAAAAGAAATAAGGCATGGCAATTTAAACACACGCTTATGTGATTAACAGAAGTATGGTTGACAATGGAAGCTCATCCTTTTTTTGGTGAGAAATAAAATAAAACCTTGATTCTCCAAACATTCATGTAGTGGACTTAATTGGATTGTACCTCCAAACAGTGGAAAAAAGCCCACACTTTCCAAAGCAGCCAGAATAATTATCATTTGTCTTAAATGATGCAGCTGATAGAAACAATCTATGATGACCTGATTGAATATATAATATGTCAATTAACTAACTGATACTGTTGGATGCCTGACATCCTTTCATGAAAACAGATTGTGTGGGATAGATTATTAAGGTAATGTATTCTGAAAACTTTATGCCAAGGCTGCTATCAACATTTTAGCAAGTAAAGAGCCGAGGTGGCGCAGCAGTTAGAGTGTAGTACTGCAGGCCACTTTAGCTGACTGTGTTCAGCAGGTCAGCAGTTCAAATCTCACCTGCTCAAGGTTGACTCAGCCTTCCATCCTTCCGGGGTAGGTAAAATGAGGACCCAGATTGTTGGGGGCAATGTAAATATATATATACATTGCTTACTAGTGTACACCGCTTAGAGAGTGCTTGCACTTAAAGCGGTATATAAGTCTCATAAATAAATAAATATATTTAAAGCTACATTTAGGATCTGGAGAAGAACTCTGTCACTTTTCACTGATTTAATAGTATGAATTCCTGAAGAGAATACCATGCTGTTAAAGAGACATCTCCAAAAAAAATATTTAGTTTATTCCGTGAAGATGCTTGAATCTAGATTATACAGTTAACTATAAAAATATAAAGCCTTTACTAGCTTTTTATTGCTTTTATCTTGAAAATCATTTATCGCAGGAATATCATTTTGTTGGTATAGTTTCAACTTAGAAGGCTATTTATCAATCAAATTTTTATACTGCCATACTTCACAAGCACTCTCGCACACTCTCATAAACCCTCACCAACCTGTACCTCTTATGTACCCTTTGTCTATTTTTAGTAGATCTTTACTTATTTTTCCCCCTCTATCCATCATGAATTAATTGATTCGATAGATTTGTCAATCACAGAACAATAAAAAATATTCTTAAGAATTATAGTATGCCTAATCATGTATTGCTGAGTTTAGGATATAAAAAATACAGAGTCAACGTTTTATTAAAAACTGATAAATACGGCATCACCAGACAAACCCAAACGCTGTAAGCCAGAATATAATGTTGCCTAACTTTGTATATTTGAAATGCAAATTAATTAAAAAAAAAAAACCAACACAAACCCAAACTTACAGAAACAACTTTGCTGACAATAGGTAAAGCAACTATTCTTGAATGTGCCCCTTTTACACTGTACCATGACAAGGCTGACCTCAGCAACAACAACGATTCTTTGAAGGTAAAGTATGTAATTTGAGTTCTATGAACTGATACTTACCTTCCAGATTCAAAAGTGAACCATGTTGAATCACGCCCATATCTTCTCAAAGAACTGAGAGGCCACATGACCAGTTTAACCTTAGCATTATGGATATCCCAGAGATAAATGTTTTCATGTGTGATCTGCATCGTACATTCACCATAGATATCTAAATTTGGTGTAGGCATAAGATATACATTGAATCGTTCTGGAAGACAGAAACAGAAATAATACATTCAAAGTAAAAAGTGTGAACCACAATTTCCATTTTGTCTATCGACTGAAGCATTTATTAAAATAAAACTTAAATTTAAAGATAGGAGGACATAATTGATTTAGAGGGCAGGGTTATATTTTATTCCTACCATATTTCAAAAAAGAGTTGAGACCCTATTAATGAAAAAAACTTTGCCTCTTTTTATGACCTTCATGAAATGATATAAATCACTTTCCTTTTTAGCATTTATAATTTCAATTAGTTCATTTACTTAGGAAGGTGCACCTGTTTTCTAGATTTAAAGAACTTAGCATATTTTAGTAACAGACTTACAATACACACTTTAAGTCTGTTATTTTAAGCTTTGAAAACTACACTTAAATATTGTTTTATTACATTTATATCATTTTGTTACATTTATATAGTCATTTATTTGGTTATTTAATCTATCCTTATTGATTGGATGTGTGCTAGCATATGAACCTATAATTTCAAATTATATAATACTAAAGTTCTAGACTATCTCTTTCTCTTTATATAATTCCTTATATAGTTATACTTTATGCACGGCTGTGGCTGTGTGCAATTCACAAAGACAGTTTTGTCGCAGTATGCTTGCTGATAAATGCTTCTGTCAAAACCATTCCTAAGGAATAGCAAGAATGAGCATAAAAACACAAAAACAGAGATTTTGTATAAAAATTGGCAGCAGCAAGTGGCAAGGCTAAAATCACCACTAGGTGATTTGTCATCAAATTCCAGTGGTACTATTTTCAGGGGCAAATGAGGATGGGATTCAGGACAAATTTTTTAAAAAAATTAAAGATAATTTTCACAATGTGAAACTCAAGTGTAACAATAACTGCTCAGCAAAATAATATAAACTAATACTGTATAAACTAACATACATCTATAAAGATGTATCAGTGCATCTAATTTTAAAGTGATACTTAGGCAGTAGTACAGACATTGTCCAGTAAGGTACCAGCAGAAATCCATTCTAACCTAGATTTATGTTCTCACAGAAGTAACTTTTTGAAAAACAGAACACTAAGCTGGAAATATGCTTCAGAATTAATGTAAAACATTAGAAACCCAACAGGAATGAAGGTATGAAAAAAGACAGTTAATGAACAATTTCATGTACAATAATGTTAAAGATTTCAAGCTATGAATAAATTTGTAATTATCAATATATATATTAGTCCCTCAGCCTACTTGATTTTGTTTTATTGATAAGCTCTGAAGTTAATTCACTCAGTATTACACTATCTATATATAGATCTCCAAAGCTATATGTAATCACTAATCACATTAGTGCTCTAGTTTACAGGATGTCTAAATAAAAAATATCAATGATGATTATGAGAATGTATTTTGTTTTTATACAGTTTTCAGAATATTAATATATTGCTACCAAGTAAAGCTTCTTCCATTACTTAAGTATTCTGTGCAGCTACTCCAGTTTTTGAGGCCAATGCAAACATTCCTTTTTTAAAAAAAATAAATAAATCTTTGTGAGTACTTTTCAGATTCCTACCAACATTTTCATAAACATAACCTGTGGATTATATTATTAAATCTATATAGTTGTACCATAGATGTAGATGATATTAAAGCTATTATTGATAATTATGGAAAGCTGGACGAAGTAATGCTAGGCCTGTTTGGTTATTAATAGGTAAGTGGCTAGTTTTGATCCCAAATCACATGTGAAGAGAGCACTGTGGAATAACTCCATTTTAAAAATAATGGGGCAGACTTTCGGTTGGAAAGTTTGGGCTAACAAGGGATTAATATTTTAAATCAGTTGATTCTTAATAGTTGGTTTAAAGCCTTTGAGTCTAATTTGCTTTCAATATACATTTGGCAATTTATACAACTGAAACGGGTATTAATTAAACAGTACGGCCTAGGTGTTTTAACATGCTCTGAGGCACTTCCAATTTTAGTTTCTTTAAGAGATGTTGCATTTTAACAGAAAGTCACAATCTTTTAAAAAAATATTAAAAATATTAAAAATTCAAACAAAAGCTAGGATCAGTTATTTATCAGATCTGTTGAAGAAAGAATTGGAATATTAAATTTTGAAAAATCAATGGATGATTAAATATATTTTTTTAAAAGAAAGTTTGTAAATGCTGAAAGTCCTTTTAAAAACCTACGAAATGTGTATTAACAAACTAGATCAACTTTTTGTTCAGTTCAAACTCATGAAGCAATCGTCTGAATGGAGAATACTGTCAGCGTCCCATATCTTTTATTTTACAGTTGTGACTGCAATTAACTCCCATCCCAGCTGGCTTCTCTTTATTTTTGTGAATAGTTTAATTTCAAAATGAACTATTTCATGAACAGTCAAATCATATCAAATCTATCTTTATTACGATTTTGGTCCAAGATATATTAATTGGTATTGTTATAAGCCAATGGCTACCTGTACACATAATCTATTTTTAACATTCACAGGAAAAAATGGGGTTGAAATTTTTGAAAAGTTCAGTAAATCAGGGAAAAATCTCCCTCGCCACCTTAAACTATTTGAGATTATTAGAAAAGAACATTAAGGAAACACAGTATGCTCAAAATGTCAAGACACATTTATTTCTTTCACACTGAACATCTTAAGGTGTGTTGTCCATTAAAAAGAAAAGTTCCTGATTAGACTGAACCTCAACTGTGAAACAAAGAAACAAAATCAATAGTAATTACCCAAGAGTGGAGACAACATATGCAGTGAAATTTAGAAGACTTAGAACTAGTAATGAAAAAAACTAGATATTTCATTTACCAAGCTACTGGGTAAACATGACTATCACAAATAGTTCTACAAGAAATCATTTTATTATTTTTCTCTTTTGTAACACTAATGCATTAGACATACAATGAAACAACAATCCTCCTACTCCAAATCAAATCCCATTTTATCCATTTTAATCCAGAACACAGTAAGATAGATATACAAGAGTGGTAATAAACTAATTATAGATGCACATATTTTGATTTGTTGAAAAACCTTGCTCAAGTCGAGGATTGCAAAATCATAAGGGGAGTCCTTTATGCTATGAAGCAAAAATGTAAATTTAAGAATAAGCTAAAAGGAACTGAACATAAAATTAATGTGAGTTAATAAAGCTAAAATAAATAGGAGTAAATGCGACAGCATAGAACAGTGTTTCCCAAACTTGACAATTTTAAGGCATGTGGACTTCAACCGGCTGTGGAATTCTGGGAGTTGAAGTCCTCATGCCTTAAAATTGTCAAGTTTGGGAAACACTGGCATAGAAGAAAGTGTTCGATCTCATCCAGTTCACAAAAGGCAGAAGTCTTGAGAAGTTTTACAAAACTGGCATTGTAAAAGAGCCGATGATAAATGATCAAATCAGACTTTCAAATATGCTCCTAATACTTGGGAAGTGTATACTAATACATATAAACTGTTGGACTAGATCTTTAGGAACTCCTGAAGCATGAATGCATCTCTGAGGTTTGGCTCTATTCATTTTCAGTACTGCATACATAGAACTGGCCATCCTGCTTTTTTTTTTTTTTTTTTTTAGCACAATTGGTTGCTTTGAGTCAGTTCGGAAATATAATTATATCTTAAAGAAAAAGAAGAAAATACAGACAAAATTCAAATGATAGGCAAGCCTAATGTGATAGTCCGTGATAGAGAATGACCATTCATAAATAAATACAATTAACAGAAGAGGGATATAAGCATGAAAAACAAAATATTCTTGACAAATCTACACTGGCTTTAAAATTCTGATTCCATAATATGAGCTCATTCATAATAAATGAGTAATTTAATGGGTTAGCTGGCAACCTAGTCATACATATTTGCAATTGAGATTTTAGCAATAATCCAAGAAATAAACTATAAAAGAATAGGCATCATCTGCTCTTTAGATGGCTTGGGCTATAATTCTATCTCTTGCTGCCCAGGGCTGATGGAAATTGTAATTCCAAACATGAGAAATATACCTGGTTGTACAATATGGTTCTGTAAGAACAATACTCTTGTTTAGATGACCTACCTAATCTGTGACTGTTTGCAAAATGGATGAATGCAAAGAGTAATTAATCAAGAAATATTCATATGAAAATGAACATAATTATATTAACTAACTTTGGTTAGAATAAAGCATTTTCTGAATTTATAATTACACAGAACTGAATTTGCTATAAATTAGAGGATGGAGGAAAGTATGACTTGGCTTTTTTTGCTGTCAGTACAATCTGTTATGTACAATTTTATCCCTTTTTGCAATCTTAATTTGCTCTGTTCAAGAACTACACTGTACGGAATACTTTTTTTAAAAAATATGGATATTAACATACAATTATTTTCCATTTCCTGGTTCATATGCACATTAAAAATAAATCAAAAGAATATCTCTTTTTTCCTTTAAATATAGGTGAATAATATGAATCAGCAAAAGGTGTACTCCATTAATGATATTATTAGTTTTGGCTCTAATTTGACTGAATGATAGGTAAAGGTAGCTCCTGATAGTTTATTAGTAGTTTAAATTGAGATATGGATGGTTCCTCTTATGCTGGATTTCAGAATGGCCATCAAAATTTAGATTTATCAGCAGATCTTTAGGGTAGGAAAGTGAGCTGATGCTTCCTATACGGTAATGTGGATTATAATAAACATAAAATTTATCTCTGCAACATTGTTATCGATGTTTTCGGCATTTAAAAAAACTTTTAAAGTATATATGATAGTCTATGTCAGGGGTGCCAAACTGAGGCCCATAGGCCAGATGTGTCATGGCAAAACCGAACCCACCCCCATTGCCGGCAATGGAAAAAAAGTCACAATACGTCACGACACGTCACGTGATGTTGCGTGTTTGACACCCCTGTTCTATGTAAACCACTCAGAGTTGGTCTCAGTTGAAGTAGCAGATAAGTTGAATAAAAACCCTGTAAATAAATAATAAATTTGATCTTCTGCCAAGAAAATAATAACATTCAAGATAATAATTAAAACAGTAGTTAAAAAGTAGACTAACTTTTGCTGTCTCTCTGAATTATTTTGCACATAAAACTGATGAAGTATATTAAAATCTGATCTAGTGGTTTGGTCTAGTGATTAAGGCACCAAACTAGAAACTGGAAGAATATGAGTTCTAGTCCTGCCTTAGCATGGAAACTGGCTGGATTATTTGGAGCAGTCATTCTCTTTCAACCCAACTTTTTCCACAGGTTTGTGGTTGTAAAAAAAAATAGGAGTAAGGAGGAGTAGGCATGTTTGTTGCTTTGAATTATTTATAAAAATAAAGGTAGAATAAAAAAATATAAATCTAAAATCTAAACCTTTTTTTAAAAAAATAAGTTATTTATGATTGTGAACTTCTTAAATACAATTCTGACTTTAGGCTAAGGCACCATTTACATGTCAGAAGTCCTTTTTATAATAAAAAATTCAGTCAAATGCATCCTACGTAGGTTGAATGAAAGGGAAAATATTTCTAAACTAAATTATTTCATTAAATAAAACCTTGTGATACTCATTAATACTTTACCCAATTATATGAATGTGCATTTATATTTTGTTTTATCTTGATACAGGTAGTAAAGCACAGCTAGGTTTCCATCAATGTTGCATTACAACTTTTGCTTTGATGTGCAAGTAAGAAGTAGGTTAGAGGAGTTTTTTAAAAAATATGTTTGCAAAGAAGGAAATACTTCAGTTCATTTGCTAATGCTCCTGTTATAGATAGTTTATCTAGTTCTGATACCTGATTTAAATTTATTAATAAATATTTTGCATCGTGTCTTGCTGTGTGTAGAAACTGTAATGCCTGCTTTTCTTTCTAGAGTTAAGGTGACAGCTAGCTTTAGCTCTGCTAATTTAAATGCAAATTTCGGCACTGGGGGATATTTATCAAAATTGCAATGTCTGGGGTAGTGAAACTAATGATTCAATTCTGCATATTACTAAAACATCCATTTTGTTCAGGTCTTGAATTTAAATGCTGCTGTTAATTATGGCTACTTGGAGTCTCACGGTGCGTTATGAATGGAGAACCCGGGGATAGTGTCCTAAATAGATTAATTTCAAAACAGTTATTTAATCCAAAACAATAAATATGTTTTAGTTATCTAAACTGAATAAATAAATAAGATACATAAATGTTTTGTTTTTTTACTGTGATCTTTTGGCAATTTAAAACAAATTCTAACCTGATGCATCAGTTCGCATTTTGCGCCAATATATTCTCTGGTCTGATGTGGCCCAAGAGAATTCTACAAAAAACTCAGAAACATTTCAGCCTGCTCTTGACCAAATTATGATTTTGCTTATAGCATTCATAAAATTGACTCAGGTTCATTCTGGGAAGTCCTATACCAAATTTTCAAAAGTTCCATATTGGAATTTCAGAAACTAGAGAGTTCCATCTCTAGTCTTAGTGAAAACCATTGACAATGTTTCCTTTTCACTAAAAATTTATCCAGAAAATATTTCATAGTGATGATTATTCTTTATGTAGTAATGTCTGTATTATTAGAATATGATAAAAACCTAAAATACAGTAATGTCTGTATTATTAGAATATGATAAAAATCTTTGCCTTGTAAATTACTCATAAATCACACCTTACCTTAGTCCATAGTTTTGAAAAAAGTCAAACCTCCATAATAAATTTTACTTACCTTATCTAAACTGTATCCATAAATCAACTATTTATATGCAACATAAATATCCCAATAAGCCTAACCTCTACAATATGATAAATGAGCTTCTGATTTTGAACTATGTTAAGTAGATTATCTAAACACATACCATTTTGTTCTCTTTGAACTCCAGCAGCAAGTAGATCAGGTTCACCAAGGCTTATATCATTAAGTCTAGTTCCAAGACATTCTATGCAAAGATGTTTGCACCACTCTTCTGCCTCAAGCTCTGACAGGAAAAAAAAATGCACCAGGAATGTTATTAATAGAATATTACAGGGATTGAGGAACAAATCAAGTACACTATTAATGATGAATGTGAGAAAAGACTGCAAAAAATTGAAGAAAAAGAAAAAAAAACCTAGGTGTCAGAGAAGATGGTGGAATTTGACAAGAAAAGAAGCCAAAGCCAAGAAAAAAAAATATTTTAGAAAGGAACTTAACAAAAAAATTCAGTGAGCTATTAGAAGAAATAAGATTCAGTGATAGTTACATCTCCACTGGTTTTCAAAAGCGTTCTCTAAATTCAGAAGGTTTAATATCAAATTGGCATGTTAAAGGAGACAAATTTGAAGACCCCTTAACTCACATGATTTATTCATGTGTTCAGGTTCTTCCATATTTATTGAACAGACTTAATACTGTGAACACAGTTTTACTAAAGGAGTTAAAATCTAAGGATAAAATGGTTAGATAATTGGAATAGGAAGAACTCTGGATCTGGAAAAAAATGCGAAGAAGATTGTTATCTGATCTTAGAAAAAGATTTGGTCTGTTATCAAAGGCTGGCTTGGCAAAACATAAATATTTAATGATAAGATTCAGTGATGACAAAATGTAATTAGTACCTTAAAAGTTGAATTATTACCCTTTTCAATATATATGATTATTTTATTCAGTTACCTTTTTTATTCCTTCTACTCATATGTCTAGATTTAATTTAGTTATTAGATTAAACAGGTCAGACAAGATAATAGCAAATGAATTATTGCTGGGGACTAAACTCCAAATTTTAATATCAGATACTAGCATAAAAATTATTTTTAACTTTTTTATTATATTTAAAAATAAAATAACATTAAATATGGTTAGTATATCTAGTTTAATATGTATTTAATCATATTAAATGTACAACTCATTGCTGCAGATCAGATATAGATATCTATCTTCTACTTTTGAATAATTCTTTTAATCAAAGAATTTACTGTTACTGGTATCTTGATACATTCTAAATACTATGGTTATGGTCAAAATATAAAACTTCCTAAAAATCCTAATCAAAAGCCACCTTAAAAATGTACATTAAACTTCCCATATTAAATGTTTTATCACAATACAAAGCAATTACAATTGCCAAATCTTTCCTGTTTTGACAAATATGCAAAAATATTACAGTAGTTTGGATATTTCCCATCATTTTCCCAAACAGTTCAGAATATCTGCAACAAATATCTGGGAGGAATCTGAAGATGCAATAAAAGCAGATGCATACACTTGCTTCATCATGTTTTTTACCATCATATAGTCTGAAACCCATCTCCTTACCCAAAGTTTGATTATTTTCAGTGTAATTCACCCACCACCATTAATCTAAGTACCTTTTCATTTGCTTCATTTCTTGGAGCTCCTTTGAAAACCTGCTTTTTCCTGCTTGGCAATCTGCCTTTATCAGAGCTCAAACAGGTAGTGTACAAACCAGAGCTTCATACTTTATAATTGGGATATTGTCAAGCACGCTCAGGAAACCATCAAGATTCATTAGTTCCTCTGATAGATCATTATAAAAAGTCCTTTGTCATTTCAGAGATCCCAGGTGCTAAGAATTTGTTGCTAGATAAAAAAACTGCTCTGAGATAGAAAAGCATAAACCTATAAGTTGCCCAGTGTCGCCTTATAGAGGAGATGGGAAGCATAAAAATTTAATAAATAAATAAACACATATGTCTTCCATATTGTTCCATCTGCTCCAAAATAAAGATTCAGAATGTGCTTACATTTGTTGGATTTAAGATTACCTGGGACAAAGAGACCAAAAATACATAAAGAACTGTTTTGCTTTGTGAAGGCTGGAACATACAGTGGTTGATGTACCTACAATTTGTTAGAAGAAAAAAACAATCTCAAAAATGAGAAGCTTCTAAGAAAAATGACAGAATTTGAAATGCTTATACTGAATTGAGAGCATCTACTAGAACATATGTATTTGCCATTACTTAAATGTGACATGGAGATAGAACAAATTAACTTCTTCATAAAACAGAGTCAAAACTTTTAAGAAACAGTCACAAAGGAACAATGAGAATAATTATGGTACAGCTTTATAAAATTTAACATTTTAGCTTTATAACTTAAGAAAAAAACTGGTATAAAATGTTTTATAGAACATATAAAACTATGTCAATAATTGACAAGAAAGACAAATCATACCTAAATGACTGGAAAAGGCCATGAGACAGAAGGAGAATTTTACCAAATGTGACAGGCACATCAAAAAAAAATCTCAAAATTACTGGAAAGAAATACAGAGCACTATTCAAAGCATATTTTGAAATTAAGTTTGAAATTAAACTGTACGTACTTCTTATTACTAAGTATAATTCCAAAATATATTAACAAAACATATCACAATTCACTAACTGTAGTTCTAATTATTAATTGGAAAAGAGAAATATTACTGAATGAAGGCATGTTATCAGACTGGTTACCGGTACTTAATCTTGGAGAATACATAATAAATGGCAAAATTTACAACACATATTCACAACAGAAGTTTAACCCAATTTAAGCAAGAATGGCTTCCATATAAAGTATATATAGTCTGCAGCAAGGCAAATATAAGTATTTAGAGTATGGTTTATAACAACTAATTAAAGAATTGAAATTATAAAAGGTTAAGTATCAATAAATATTGTACATTAGTTGAAATAGACCAAAGAGGAAGAAACGAATTATCTATAATGTTTTTAATAGTTTTTCATTTTTTTAAATTCTTAAATAACAAATAGTGGAGGATTTTGGAACATCATTCAGAGACTCAAATCCTTCTCACATTGTTAAAATAATTTAATCTGCATAATGTACTTTATGGATAATTTCTCATAAACAAACTGAGCACTAACTGTATCATCACAGTAATTCCTTTATTCACTTACTGATTACTGTATTTCTGTATCAGCTATTTTCTTTCTTTTCTCCTTTTGCTTGCTCTTGCTCTTTTTAATGATTAATGAATAAATTAAAAAAAAACATTACCTGGGACACGTTTATGGTAATATTGAAGACATGACTCTCCAGGCCAATTTATTTCCTTTCCACCACCAGAAGCATTCGCATTGAAGTCCCCTGCTTCAAAGGCCAGAGAGACTCCAATACTAGCTTTGCAATGAAGTTCCAGGAGAGTCACTGCAGGACAATGGGTTGATAAGTCTATCAAAAGAAACCCTAGCTTGTCCCCAAAGATCAGTTTCATGTATAGGCACTTTCATCCAGCTGTTTCTTATGTAATGTTACTAATTATTGCCATGACTTTACAACTAACCTAAATGTTTGACCACTTAGACCCAAGTATGGATGTTTTTTTTTAACTTAGAAGGGGATCTACACAAATGTGTGGATCTCCAATCTCCTGAATATGTGCTATATCATTCTCCCCAGTGTCTTGGCCATGCTTTCTCCTGCCCATTGCTGTCTAAATGTGGGATCCACCTCCTCATCTACAGCACCAGAACCTAATAATCCTCTTTATGGTATTATGTTCAGTTTCTGCCATATCTCCATATGTCAGTTCTTGTGCTCACCACTCAGCTCTAGTCATATCCAAACTATGCAACCTACTCTACACAGGGCTACCCTTGAAGAGTATTTAAAATGTACAAAATGCAGCTGTATGAACAGTTCCAGGAGCCCCCAGTGTGGCCCATGTTACAAAGCTATTGAACAAGCTGCTCTTATTGCCAGATTGCTTCTGGGTCCATTAAAAATATTGCAATTACTTTTACAGCCCTTTATGACATTGGTTCAGATTACCTGAGGAACCATCTCACCATAATGGGATTGACCTGTCCAGTATAAGGGGCATGCTGCAGATCCCATCAGTCAAGGAATTCTAGCTGGCAGGGTCCAGGAGGAAAGCCTTTTCTGCTGTGCCTTCCACTCTCCGGAATATCGTGTCCTTCAAGGTGACATCTGCACCCACTTTGTGGCCTTCCAAAAGGGCCTGAAAACCTGGCTGTGCAATTGGCTTGGAGCCTGGATGGGGGTGTGTCACATTATAGGTGGTTAATGGACTGTATACGACTCTACCTCCACTCTGTGTGCATCTTGCTTCTTTCCTTACTATATTTCTTAATTTTAAGTCAATTTTAATGTTAATATAGATTATTTTAACAGTTTAATGATTATCCTCTAGGCGAGATGGATGGCATATAAATTTAATAAATAAAAATAAAATATAACCTCATCTTAAAGGTTGCAATATCCAGGGGCACTTCTATGGGCCCAATGAAGCTAATTTCCTCTATTTAATCAAGTCAAAGCTTACCACCATGAATACACCTACTCACTCTCAGTTAATGATAACTGTGAGAGAGCAATGTCTAAAACTCTTTATGAAGCAAACACTTTTAAGTGATCATTTCTTCTGGAATCTGTATTAAGATCTTTCTAAGAAAGAATACAAAAGTGTATTGTACACTGACTAGAACTGTCAGTGTATCTGTCACCATGTAAAAGAATGAAGTCACATATGAATCTTGAATTATACTTTTATGGGCATAGAAGTGGAACCTCTAAGGACAAGAAAACGGTGACCCTCAGATGTTATCGAGGAAAGGGGTTTTGGGAATTCCCACTCCTGACTTTAGGAATAAGTTTTACTAAAAGTTATTTTTATTTGTGTCTGCAATATGCAATGGGGATAATGTTCGTTGTCTTTGTCCACTCCTGACAACCCAAGCAGAGATACTGAAGGAGGCAGAACTGTGGGATTGTGGGCTTGCAACATTATTTATAAAAGCTGCTTAAGAAGCTACTTGAAGAAAGAGGTCAGGTTCAGCAAAGGCTCTGGAGACTGTGGCTGCACAGCTAATGGAGTCAAGAAATATAAATTCTACTTTCTTCTTCTTGAATCTTCTCTCACTGATACTTTCTCAGTGCAGTGAGAAATCAATAGTCTCACAATATGCTCTAGTCATCCAAATCTTCTGTTTCCCAATTAGGAAGCCTCAGTAA